ACCGACCAATCAGTCGAGATAGCACAGTTTCTGATTTCCGGAATATTAGCTCGCCAGATATTGGGACGGGGTGGAGCAGATACGAATTGTATACCATGTGTCCTAAACTAAAAGTGAATTACAACGTGATCACTGTTCACTAGTGGAGGAAGGTGCTGGATATCAAAGACATCCTCAGAGTGGTGGGTGAGGGCGAGGTCCAGCAGTGACGGAACATGGTGCAAATCAATATGTGTCGGTTTTGTGATACATTGTACAAGTGAACACTGAATAAGGGTGGATAAAAGGTCACTATCGAAACCACTACCTGGAGCTGTAAGCTCTATCCAGTTGATATGCGGTACGTTGAAGTCCCCAATGATGAGACAACATTCTGCCATACTCCAAGAACAGATGTGTCTTAGGATAAAGTCGTCAGCAAGACAACACGGACTACGGTATATTCCCCCTATAGTCACTAACCCATTTCTAGATGTAATCTTACAACATGCAACCTCACATGTGCCACTGATATGAACCTCCGATATTGTTGATTGTATACGAAAGTGATCCCTAACGTATAATATTATACCTCCCCCTTTGCGACTTGAAACTCTATCACTTCTGATACAGATATAACCAGCAATGAACGGAGAACAGTCTATATCTACTGTGAACCAAGTTTCTGTAACAACGATTATATCGGGACTTAATTCTTCCACCATCAGACTTAGCTCGGACGTTTTATTTCTAAGGCTACGAGCGTTCGTGTAGCACACACTTAAGGTGTTTTGGCAATCAATCGTTCTACCCATACAGGCCTCGGAAGCATTGGCTTCCAAGACCTGACTACCCAAAAACCCTTAATGGTAAGGTTATTTTCGCCATTTAATTTGCGAGTCCTCAACTCCGTAAGAGCATTCTTAAACTTGATTCGATCCTCAAGCGGCCAATCTGGTCGAATACGGATATTTGAGGCACGAGTTTTTAGTGCGCTTTTCAATAATATGTCTCTTTCTTCGAAACTCCCGAGAACCAGCTTCAGGATCCTTCTTGGTTGGGTCTCGCCTCCAACCTATTTACCAAGTCGTATTACTTTTGCAATATGTACCCCTGAAACCTCTTCAGGTAGTACATTCCTTACCACAGACTCCACTAACTTCAGGTCATGTGCATGTCTTTTAGCAGGGTCGTTGTCTTTCGACTCCTCTAGATTCCAAATAATTAAACTAGGGATGGGTTTAGCTTCTTTTGAAACTGTGTTCACAGCTTTCGACCGTGACGTTAGATCCTGTATTTTAACTACTGGTATCTTACGATTAGTTTTTATTTTAACAGAGTCCTGGGAGTCAAGCGAATGACTCACAACAATGTCAGACGAAGCTTTACTATGGGACTTTGGCGGATTGGTCTGAGAGTCCACCAAGGACTTACCAAGTAAACAGTCATTAGTTTTAGCTATCTTTCCTACTCTTCTGCGTTTTCGCGTCATCCATTTTCCATCAGTCGAAACGTCTACATTAGAACAACTCGGGACAGTAATTGTTTTATCTGGGTCACCGGTTGCTATTGTAGCAATATGGCCACCAACGTCTAACGACGTGTCACGTACTGATCGTTTCGGGGGAGAACGTTTAACTGCGGGTTGGACAGGTAGATGTCTGGCTTGCGCCGTGATAGCACTTACGACACTAACGCAATCTTCGCCATCCGTACCAATGCTATCAGTACAGCCCTCATCAACCTTCTTATTAGCCAACACCAGGAGACCAATTGCTTCCTGGATAAGCAATGTTTTGCTCGAACAACAAAAACTGCAAAGCCAATGAGAGTTGGGCTTTGAACACCTTTTATATGCAGTGGGGCTTAATCGGGTGCATATCTTATGGAACCACTTATTACACTCATCACATTGCATCCCTTCATCCACAGGAAATAAGCAGTATGGTTGTCCACATTTCTGAGTAGACCTAGCCATCTTGAAAATCTACTAGAACGGTGACAAAAACAGGATATGTAGAAGGATTTTCAAACCTTAACTAAATAAACCAAGTAAAAGTCGACCAAGTATGCTTCGATGCAATAAATACACAGAAGCAAAATCGAAAAACTCAATAAAATATCACTTTAACTGGGGTAGATGTAATTAAAGTGTTAACAGTAGTTTTGATGTGTAATTTACGATCAAAACAGTTAATTAACTCAACGAGAAAGAATACCGCTGTCCTTTTTAAATAGAGCGCGTTCCCATCAGCCGAAAAAGAAACTGAATAATAACTCTCGCCACAAGAATACAAAGAATCTGTAGCCCTGAGGTCGTAGAGGAAGAATTCAGCCTTTTAAAAGAGATACTTATCAAAAACGGATATCCTTCTATATTCATTGATAAGGACTTGAAGCCGAAAGTGCCAAAACCACAAACAATTACAGTAGAAAAGAACATTTTATACATGAACATCGACTTCAAAGATGATAGAGCCGCAAATATCTTAAAGAGGAGAATTTCGGATTCTTTAAAAAGAACATTCTTCGCAGCAACATTGCGAATATTATTCTCCAGCCGATCACTGTTCACCAATAATCTGAAAGATAAATTATCGCATCTGACCAACTCAATGTGCATTTACCAATTTACCTGCTCTTGTGGAGCTAGGTATACAGATCGTTCGATGCGTACTATATCCAAAAGAATTCAAGAACATTGTCCGGCGTGGCTGAAAAGAGGAGGCAACAGCTCAATGAGAAGTTCTTTAATCGAACACCATGTGAACACAGGTCACTCAATCAAGACAGGCTCTGCGTTCAAAGTCATCTACAAGGCAAGTAGAAGCCTTCCTAAGACAAATTGGACTGCATCTTCTTTGCATTGCCGAGGCAATAGCCATACATTTTGAAAAACCAGAATTATGTGTACAAAAGAGACTGGTACAACCTCTTCTTCTACCATGGTCCTAATGTATTAAAATTTTTCTCTTTCTTCATCCTCTTGTTCCCTTACAGCCACCTGCTTCACCTTCCATCTTCCCTTCGAATCTTTTGCCCTCAACCGGTTTGTTTTCATTTCCACGATCATTCCGATTACATTTCATCTCCGTTTCAACATTTTATTTTATCATGCTGAGCCATCCTTACCCAATGAATACTTAAGCCATTAACTATCAAACGATTACTAAACTTTCCTTGTTTTAAAAATTTTTTAATACCTTTGTTTATTTAACCTCACTATCACCATGTATAACAGAAGTTTATTATCAGTATTATTATCACCCTGTAAAAATAAGTATATATATTTGCGGTTGTACAACTTTGAAAATGAATTCGCCGAAAAGAGAACTCTTCGTTGAACTAATCTCTCTTTCTTATTTAATGACATAATGGGTGTATTACGTTTAATTATGACAGAGTCAAAAGTGCGAATAAAAAAATGCTCAGATGAATACATTCCCCACATTCACATCTGTAAACAAACAATGAGTGTAATCTGATTAGGTGCACAGTTGGGGGTCGGCCAATCGTCATCTTTTAGTATAAGTCTTGAAATAAGAATTCTAATGATTCAAATATAATGTACACAAAATATACGACGAATAGGAACACTCAATGGTAAAAAAACACAAAAGTACACACTTGTAGGTCACAAGTATTTATGATGAATACGAAGTTACTAGGAGGATAACAGTGATTTACTAGTTTGACTTCATTATAATTTCTAATAAGTGCAAATTCACAAGCATGTACAGCCACTACGGATGTAAATATCCCATAGATACTCGATCTGTAACGCTTTAATGAAAGAACGGTACCAAACTACTCAAACCAGAAGTCTGAAATGGAAGTGTTGGAAGAAAGATTTATGATGTTGTTGATATGTCGAGAAAATTTTGGTCTAAGTTGGTTAGTGGTTGTAAGGGATGCGTAGCCAAACACACTCGCTCGTGATCTGGTGCGGATGTGTGACCCTGTACATCCAGCTTGAGTGTGTCCAATAAAATTAATGAGATCAGCATCAATGTCCAAGACTTACAGCAATATTGTTTGGTGACTTATTTATAACTGCAGATGAAAGTGACTGCGATAAACACCTTGCTTACGTTTCGCAACGACTTCTATCGTCTAGGAATCTACTTTTCAGAGAATGTTGTGTTTGAGACACCGAATTCGGGAATAGAAGGATCGAAGTAAGGTTTTTGGGCTCTATTATTCGAGTGTATCATGTTGCACATCGGTCACCAAGGTAGGAATGGATACAGAGTGAGCTACCTGTCGTTCAGACACTCAATAACTTAAAATTCATTGTTAGCGGAGACTTAAAAACTACTGCAAACTGCCGTGTGATAGATGTTAATTATTTGGAACCCTTTGGTCACTACATAGCAAATTTACCCATGTCAACGCTTTAACCATTCACACTTTGTGTACAGTGTTCTTTAGCACTAACTTGAGTATTGCACACAAGGGGCTAGCCTTTGCCTAAAAAGAGAACGTGAAATATTGGAAAAGGTTCAAGGGACTGCAACTAAGCTGATTCACAGAGTCGCAAAGTTCACATACGATGACAGACTAACTAAACTAAAAAACCCATTCCTCTTGTCGTAACGAGAAACCAGAGGTGAATTTATAATATTTTTAAAATTACTTAGCGATAACTTTGCATTCGATAAGCTTTTCTCGTTGTTTTCTTCAAAAACATAGTTTACGAGTACATTCTAAAATGTTCACAAGCTCAGGACAAACAACGTGTCGGATGAATACCGACTTCTCCTTCGGACCATCAATGAGTGTAATTTATTACCTCAACAAGTGACTGAATCTCCATCTGTCAACGCTTTCAAAAGAAAGTTGGATCATGTCCTTTCCGAACAGAAACTGAATTTACTAACATATTGTTGCTTTTCCAAAGTTCCTAACGGATTGTACCATAATTCATATTTTTCTTCAATTCCAAACAACCTTCTATACCACAAAGACTGATCTTAAAGGACATCAATAACTATACGTGACCTCGATAGAGGATTGTAGATATACTGTCGTAGCAGCGCGCGGTCTTCAACTGCCTGACGCGTCATGGCCTCGTTTTTTGATGTCAGCTCTAAGAGGAAAGATAAAAAAGAAGAGGAAGAAGGTAAGGAAGGTCTCACTGCCTCATCATTGGTCTTTTGCGACTTGGTGTTTATGTGCCTCACATGTAATGCTTTTGTCTATTTCCAGGCTACGGAGCAGTGTATGCTAAGCTGGATAAATCTGTGGTTTTGCAAGAAGTATTTGCAACTTATGCTCTCTCTATATATAAATATTTTAGGCCCGCTTGTTTAATCAAACAACACTTAACCCAAGGAAATGTGTGCACATATTGACTAAAATTCTAGTGATTTTGGAGCAGGTTTAAATTAATTCATTATTCTTAAACTGGATATATAGAGTGAAAAGTTGGGGAAGGTAGAGGCCACGGATGCTTTTTTCGCAATGACCAAGTTGTTTCAATCCAATGACGTATGTTGTTTGATCCTAACTTTTGTCTTCAGCAAAATCTTCGCCGCATGCTTTACCTAGTGATTAAAGAATTGTCTGCTGTTGCTGATGATGTGATTATTGTTACTAGCAGGTACCTTCTCGAATAATAACTACTCCTCCCTAGCTTAACTAAAGATATGACCGGCCCAGAAATTGCTTTTCGAGGTCCCGCAATTCGGGCGCTTTGCACTATTACGGATGTAAGTTCAGGTTAAATTTGATTTTCTTTTTCAGGCAGCGATGGTCCAAAGTATTGAACGCTACCTAAAACAGGCTGTAGTAGATAAGTCTCCTGCAATAGCATCAGCTGTGTTGACGTCAGCATATAAGTTAATGGATGTTTGTCCGGATATAATCAAAAGATGGACGAATGAAGTACAAGAAGCTGCATCGGGCTCTCGTATAATGGTACAATATCATGCTCTTGGTCTGTTGTATTTAATTCGTCAATCTGATCGACTTGCTGTGACGAAAATGATTCAAAAGTTTACTCGGTCTACTTTGAGATCCCCTTACGCCTACTGTCTCATGGTGAGTTATAATTCGTTATCTCACTTCTGTAGATAAGGATAGTAGCAAAGCAGTTGGACGAAGATGGGGACTCGTAAGTATTCCGATTTTTTTTAAAAAGGGAAGTGTGTTTATTTAATGTCCAAGTATTGCGAAACTTATACGTGGAATAACTTTTTGTGGCTTATTCAGTTTTATTGTCGGACATTTTTAACCACTGCTAATGATAGGCGAGTCATAGCGTAAAATCCTGCACACAGATGAGTAGGTAAGCTTTTACGGTTAGGTGTATGATGAAGCACAGAATTTGGAGAATTATCATAAATACTGGAAAAATCACGGTTAAAAACCAATAATAAGCACCACAAATCCCGTGATTTCAGGAGACTAAAGGTTGGTACATTTAGATATTGCAAGTAACTTGAAATGCTGTCGTCTACTCAGTGATAGTTGGCCTCCATCAACAAAAGGCTAACCGGAAAATGTTGGTTTACTAAATTATCTGTTGATATATAATCTTTGTTTTTGGAGTGTTTAACGGTCGCGCAGCTTTTAGATCTTAAGGAATCTTCTTAGGTTTCAGCGGGAAATGTATTGACTCACTCTAATTCCGTCAACGATCGAAGTCAGTCAGTCAGCTACAACGTAGGACCAAGCACATATGTGCATCGGTCCAAGTTGCAATACCTCATTAGCACAACAAGATGAACACCGAATTCATAGTAGTCACTTCAATGGTAGTAATATATAAAAGAAAGAATTAGTTCGTAGAAAGATATGAAGCGATTCCAATCTCAGTTTAAGGAAAGCCAAAGAGTGTATACACCAACGTCATTGTGGTCGGTTCTGAACTATGTCACACAGAATCTCGAGCCACTGGTTACGACAGTCGCGCGGACCCCAACCAAGTAGTCTGCATCTACCAACATGGCTCAGACCAGATGTTAGTGACTTCAAGCACTGATGCCACGTTTCGGTTTGGCCGCCCCTAACTTCCAACCATTCCCTACACTAGTCAGCATTGTGCGTCGTGGTAATCGGTGTTCAGGTATACGTAACATGTGGCCCAACCATCTCAGTCGATGAAGATTCACAACCTCATCAATTGATTTACCATGATTCCCTAATACCCTGCGTCTAACCTCACTATTACCTACCAGGTGATCCTAGCAGATGCTGGCAGTTTTTCTAAGACATCTGTGGTCGAATATTAGTAGTTTACGAACATCTACTCTTAGTGACCACGTTCGGCATCCGTAAAGTAGAACAGAACGAACTACCGCGCAGTAGACTTCCTTATATTGATAGACGGATATCTCACCTTCGCCATAGGTAACGTAGGTTGGCAAAAGCCAAGCGAGCTTTTCGAATCCGTGCTGAGATTTCATCAGACACCAACCCATTAGGGCTGATCAGACTTCCAAGATAAGTGAAGTTGTCAACGCGTTCGACTACTTCGCAGCCTATCCTTAGTTCAGGTGTTGACGCAGACCAGTCCTGAAGCAACAACTTGGATTTCGAGGGAGAAAAGCGCACTCCAAACATCCTGGCATTGTTGCTTAGTGCTACCAGAAGACTGCATTTTATCAGCGTCTTCACCAAACAGGAATATGTCATCTGCGTATTCTAAGTCGATAAGCGGACTTCCTGGAAGGAGATCAATGCCCGAGAATTCAGTAGACGAGAATGTTATTTCCATCGGTAGGTCTATGATGAAGTTAAACAAAAATGGAGAAAGTGGACAACCCTGACGGACACCACTTGAGATTGCAAAAGTAGATGACAGTTCGCCATAATCTCTGACTCGACTAGTAGTGTTCGAGTAAAGAGGGTTTACAAGGTTTATGTACTTCTGAGGTACGCCTCTCAATGACAGACACTGCCACAGAATCTCGCAGTCTACAGAGTCAAATGCTGCCTTTAGGCCAAGAAAGACCACCATTGTCGGAGGCTGATAAGCATGCTTGTGTTCTAGAACCTGACGAATAGTGAATATGTAGTCGAGGTAGCCTCAACCAGGTCTGAGGCCAACCGGGTTCTTGTATTTGCAGTTCACGAGTCTCTGTTAGGCTCCCGATAATCTCTGAGGCCAATATTTTATTATGTATTACACATAAATATTGGTACAAGAGGGCACCAACTATATATGCGCCACACAAAACAATGAGAATGTGAAGAGAAAAAGAAGGTAAGGAGCTTATAGGAAAAAAAAAGAAAAATAACGAGCAGATTACTGTACGGTAGCGTAATAATAATAATAATGGGGGAAACGGAAAGGTACAATCAGAAGAAATCTTTCAGTTAAGGAAGATACAACCACTTTTTATGAAGAAAGTAAAAGAAAGTTACAGCACGATCGCCACTGGCTTGTATTCTGAGCCATATCTGATAACGTCTCTAGCTGTTGTGTTGCGCCATCTCTAGGACCCCAGCCAGCGAGTCGTGAAGGACCAACGCAAGCCAGCCCTTTTCAGCTTTCTTTCATACCACGACACAATGTCATACACTGACCACCTCTCCGCTTTTCCCAACCAGTCCCAGCGTCGGCAAATAATGCACGATGTGGAATTCTCTGGGACGACATTCGTACAACATTTCCAAACCACCGAAGTCGGTGTTTCAAGATGGTGACACCAATTGGATTGTCGTCTCTGTGCCCGAACACACGATGCCGAACCTCTGCATTACTGACATGGTGTTGCCACTGAATGTCCGCAATCCTTCGGGGACAGCGATGATCGAACACAGAGAGTCGTCTAACATCCTCAACTCGGAGAGGCCAGGTTTCACAAGTGTGGAGGGGGACTGCTCTCACCGACGCGTTGTAGATCCGACCTTTTACAGCCAGACTAACATCACGAAGGTGCCAAAGGTGGCCCAGATTGGCATAAGCCGCTCTGGCTTTCACTATTCGTGCATTGATCTCATCACTCACACTCCCATCAGCTCTTATGCAGCTATCCAGATACACGAACTTCTCGACTACGTCTATCTGTTCACCATCCAGAGTGAGTACAGGGTTAGAATCCTGCCAGTCTTGTAGAAGTACTCTGCACTTCGAAGGTGCAAAGCATATACCATAGCTACGGACACGGATTGCCAACTGATTAAGTGCGGATTGCATGCCTTGGGCATTATCGCACAGTAAGACAATATCGTCCGCATACTCAAGGTCGAGAAGTCTTTCTCCAGGCAACAGATCCACACCACCATTACTTACATTCATCAGGGCTGTTTCCAGAATGTCATCGATGGCAAAGTTGAAGAGGAATGGTGAGATTGGGCAACCCTGCCTAACTCCACTGCTCGAATGGAACAATGGAGAGAGGTGGTTGTATGCCCTCACTCTGCCTGAGGTGTTTGTATGTAGGGCTTTTAGAATGTTAATAAACTTCTCAGGCACACCCTTCTTCAATAGACAATCCCAGAGAACAGTCCTGTCCAACGAATGGAAGGCAGCCCTGTTCACTACAATTGTTGGCCTTTGATAAGTATGGCGGTGTTCTAACATTTGGCGGAGGGTGAAGATATGATCAATACATCCTCGACCAGAACAAAACCCAGCCTGCTCCTCGCGAGTCAATCTTCCTCGGGTTTTGAACAACCTACGAAGTATGACGGAAGCCAATAGCTTGGACGCAATCGAAAGTAGACTTACCCCCTGATGGTGGTTACAGGAACGACGTTAACCCTTTTTTAAAGATAGGGACAACTATCGACTCATTCCATGACGTTGGTACACTCTCTAGTTCCAAGACCTTTGTAAACAACATCGGCAGTTCTTTAGTCAGAAAGTCACCACCATCTTTAAAAAGAGCCAGGAGTAAGTAATCTGGGCCCGGTGATTTGTAACGCTTCAAGAGTTGGAGTTCCTTGAGGACTTCCGCTTCATTTGGTGGATCAGTCGTCACCGGCCATGGAGGGCAGGACAGTCTGACCGATGCTGCCGGAGCAGCAGGCCGATTGAACTGCCCTTCGAAAAATTCTGCCCATCGTCCGAGACGTCGATGGATGTTAGTGATTGGCATCCCGTCATTCTTGTAGATTGTTCCGCTCACACCAGACTTCTTGCTGCCAGTGGCTCGGATGAGTTGGAAGAGCTTCTGGTAATTACCAGATGCAGCTGGTGCTTCAAGCTCATTAGCACGCTCCGACCACCAGGCTTCTCGGTCCTTACGCAAGCTTTGCCCGATTTCATTACGTAACATCCTTCGTTTGTGGTCAAACTCACGGTCACCCGAAGTAGACCGACGGGCTTCAATGAGTTGTAAGGAACCTGCAGAAACCCAGTGCTTGTAAGCGTGACGTTTCGCGAGCCCACAACTGAGTTTACTCGCGATTTTCATGGCGTCATGCAATTGCGACCAATGCTAATCTATACTTTTCGGTGGAATGGTAGCTAGCCTAGAGGCTAGCTCGGTTCGATACTTACTAGCAACAGAAGTTGCAACCAGCGGGCTAACATCAATCCTTTGGTGGCGGTCACTTCGTTGGCCACTGAGAAGTAAGGTAAGATTGGCGCAGACCAAGACATGGTCAGAGTCCTGATAGGTACTCCAAAAGGAGCGGCAGTCTTGTACATAACCACGCCAACGGTAGCTGATCGCGATGTGATCAATCTGAGTCCAGGCTTGAGATGCAGAGGGAGGACGCCAGGTGGCAAATCGGCGATGACTGTGCCGGAAGTTAGTGCCAGCCAGAAACAGGTTGTGGTCTGTGCAAAGTTGCAGTAGACGGTCTCCGTTACCTGTCCTGCGACCAACAAGTTCCCATCGGCCACCTAAACGACTCTCTTCTGTGCCTAGACGCCCGACCTGAGCATTCAAGTCTCCGGCTAGTACTACAATATCTGTCGAACGCACTTTCTGGAGAAGAACAGATAACTGGTGGTAAAACTCATCCTTGATTGCATCCGGGCTGCGATCTGTCGGGGCATAGGCGGAGATGACGAAAAGACATCGTTTCTCACGCCGATTTCTTCTCACTTTGATGGAACTTTCTAATCTAACAGCACATAACCGACTGTTAATGGGGATTCAATCGACTAGTGCTGCCTCAGCTCTAGCGCTTAGTGCGACACCAACTTCAGCAAGA